CCGAGAACTCAAGAGGGCGGAAGAAGTGGGGCCGACCAATAAAGACATGCCATCTCCAAGAGGCGAGCTGAAGCGTTTAAACCCCAAAATCATCAACGGACTGCTGCGGGTGGATGGTAGGCTGACCAACGCCCACCTGAACTTCGACACAAAGTATCCTATACTGCTACCTGCGAGACAACCCGTAGTAGAGCTAATGATTCAACACGTCCACGCCGTGGAGGGACATGCCGGGGAAAGTCACGTGACGAGCGTCATCCGAAGGCGTCTTTGGTTGTTGAGAGGACGAGAGACTGTAAAACGCGTAATCCGACGGTGTGTGCAATGCAGGAGACGCAATGCCACAGCAGGCAAACAACTCATGGCCCCACTACCAGAATGCAGGGTGACTACGGGCTGGTGGCCGTTCAGTGACACCGGGTTGGACTATTTTGGGCCCTTGTGGATCAAGTGCGGGAAAAGATTAGAAAAGCGATACGGATGTATCATGACGTGCATGAAATCACGTGCGGTACACCTAGAAGTCGCACATTCGATGACGACCGATTCGTTTCTACGGGCCTTGCAAAGATTTATCAACCGAAGAGGCGTACCGGTCGATATATACTCAGATAATGGATCGAACTTTGTGGGCGCTCAACGGGAATTGCATCGTTGGCACAAGAACATAAACAGGGACGAACTGCAGAATCGAACCGTGGCCTACGGCATACGCTGGCATTTCAACCCCCCACAGGCCAGTCACCGAGGCGGCATATGGGAACGCATGATCCGGTCCGCCAGACGGATATTGCTGTCAATCATGGAGCAGCAGCCGCCCGACGACGAGACCCTGAACACCGTCATGACTGAGGTGGAGCGAATCCTGAACAACCGCCCCCTGGTTCCAGTAATGAACGGCGACCCCACCCACCTGGCGCTCACCCCAAACGACTTATTGACGCTAAGGTCGAACGAGGGTTTCCAAGGGCCGGTAAACCTTCGTGGGAGCTACCTCCACGGGTGGAAGCAAGCGAACTATCTGGCCAAGGTCTTCTGGAGGCGATGGCTACGGGAGTACCTACCGGCTTTGCAGACTCGACAGAAGTGGATGGCCAAAACAAGACCATTCAAAGTTGGGGACGTGGTTATGATCGCCGACGAACGCGCACATTTCAGCGCTTGGTCTTTGGGAGTAGTTATGGAAACCATCAAAAGCACTGACGGAATGATAAGAACGGTGAAGGTGAAGACAGCTAACGGAGTGCTCATTCGTGACATACGCAGTATTAACCTATTCGAGAGCGAAGACGGAGGAGCTGATAACCCTGAGGCCTAGTAAACCTTTTTCACACCAGTAATCGAGGTGGATAAAGAAACACCATATATACCACACGGTCTCCGTCAAACACGTTAAGGTGCTCGCGGTCTTTTCGTTGATATTACAGAAGGTTCTTTTCGATATGTGGTGATGAATGCGATTCCATTATACATCCCGATACATACACGCATGCACGGCGCACTCTACATCCCGCACACCCATCAAACATGTGATAGTGTTCGTTGTTTTGTTTTTTGTCGACGGTACCGAATGCCCCTTGCACATGTGGAAGAAGCGGAGCTCAGGTCACACATGCATGCTACATTTTACTCGTTTTCTTGCCACGCGGTCTTTTGTTGACATTGCAGAAAGTCCTCCTCTGATGTGCAATCATACCTGTGATTTCATTGTAACCCCGGCACACACACACGCACTCACACACACACTCAAGCGCGTACATTCAGGACCGGACGGCCCCTTACGAGGACAACGTCTATGTGACCATTCACGCCCGCCATCGGTCATTTGGTCTTGTGGAAGATGTAGACTAGCCTCACGTCTATGTAGCCAATGGGTTAGGTGCGACCAGTAGTAGAACGTCGACGACGAACATTAGACGCGCGCACTGACAGCAGGGCCTAGGCAGGTAGGAAGAATCAGTACCTTTATACCGAACCTTTGACTCTGCTAAGGATCCAGGAGGATTTTGGTGGGCGGTGTAACAGCCGGTCGTGGAAAATCCCCCTTTTTCCCTCGCGATTCAGTGTTTTTCCCAACATCACTCATTTCCATACACTATTGACTTGTCTTTACGAACTGGTTGTTTTTCTGGACCAATTGTTGTTTGTTCGCGCCCAGAGCGCTATTTTGGCACATCCTTGTTCAGGACCTGCGTGACGCACGTGCTGTCTGCTCACACGCTGCTATTCGGTTTCTCGTTGTTGAGACTTTGTGATCGTATTATTGAGGTTTGTATATTGTTTACGTCATTGTTTATTTTAATAATCTAGTATCGTAGAATTATCACGGATAATCGCCTTCTGATTTCGGGATCCGTTGCGAATTTGGCTACGCATTGCTCAAACTTTCGTAACACTGGGCTTGTTTGCTCGGTTGCTGTCCCGGATGAGTCGGCCGAATCTGCTGTCAGCTATCTTCGTTTGCCTGTCCAAGTATTCGGTCAGGTCTTCGAAGTTGGCTTCTCTGTCGCTTCGGATTATCCGTTCTGCTTCTTCCGCCCACCGACCCTGTAGTTCGGGAGAGAGGTGACGGACTATGCCTTCCAAATTGTGCATGGCGTCTAGGTCAGCCCTGTAACCTAAATGGTCGAGGGCTATTGAGCAGTTCTGCATCTTGATCACCAGGTCGGCCATGGTGTAGACGTCGCCCTTGGTTTTCTTTGCCTCTGCCATCACGCCCTCTATTAGGTTACGGGCTACTTTGAAAGGTTGGCCAAACAAGTCCCATAAAATCTTCCTCGCCCTTGTGTAGCCTTGTTCTGGGTCGAACATGATGCACCCGTCGATAGCTTCTCTTGCTCGGCCTCGGCAGTAGTGAGTAAGGTAGAGAAGCCTTTGCCCAGGGTCGTTTACCTTATTTTCAACGAACGTCTCGAACTGCTTGACAAACTTGCAGTATTGCTCAGCTCGCCCGTCGAAAAACGTTAACTCCACTCTAGGCAGATCGATCGAGGGTGGTTTGTAGTCGGCGACCTGCGTGGGGTTCCCTACCTTATTGCACCCTAATCTATCGGAAGTGTCGAAGTCACTGGTCTCATGCTCTCGCTGTTCCTGTGTACACTTCTCTGCTTCCTGCGCCTGTGGTCTAGCCGATAGTAACTGTTGCTCTAGTTCTAGTATTCTCCGCTTATATAAATCGACATCCTTACGATCAATATTGTTCTCAATAACACATGAACTAGCACTGACAGGACTAGGCGATCTAGCATTAACTAAAGAATCATATGTACCCGAAACCTCCCCAGAGACTTGCCGTATTACTTCCTGTCCGGATTCGACTGCTTTTGATCCTTTTCTTCGCATTTTGCGTGTTTTTCCTCGTTCCAAATTGATCTATTGAGTATTGTTACGAACGTTTGAGCAATGCGTAGCCAAATTCGCAACGGATCCCGAAATCAGAAGGCGATTATCCGTGATAATTCTACGATACTAGATTATTAAAATAAACAATGACGTAAACAATATACAAACCTCAATAATACGATCACAATGACTCAACAACGAGAAACTGAATAGCAGCGTGTGAGCAGACAGCACGTGCGTCACGCAGGTCCTGAACAAGGATGTGCCAAAATAGCGCTCTGGGCGCGAACAAACAACAATTGGTCCAGAAAAACAACCAGTTCGTAAAGACAAGTCAATAGTGTATGGAAATGAGTGATGTTGGGAAAAACACTGAATCGCGAGGGAAAAAGGGGGATTTTCCACGACCGGCTGTTACACTCGGTGCTCGGCCCTCTGCTCTTCCTCATCTTCATCAATGACCTAGCACGTGAGCCTACAAACCTCGCCTTTATGTTTGCCGATGACGTCAATATAGCTGGATTAGATATAGAACTTAACGTGTTAGCAGTACAAAACTGGGCACGCAAATGGGACCTTCCACTAAACCTCACCAAATGTCAAAGCTTGACCACAAATACAGTGGCTAGTGGGAATGGTGTGGATTCGTTGCAAGTGGTCTCGCAGGTCAAAAACTTAGCAGCTATAATGGACAACAGCTTTAAGCCATCAAAGCAGTGCACCTCAGCAGCCTATACGGCCGGGATAGAACTCTTTCGAGTTAGATCCATTTTGTCGTGTAGAGATCTGGATATTTTCGTTCCGATATATCAGGCTATAGTTAGGCCGCATATGGAGTACTGCGTGCAGGCCTGGGCACCGTACTACCAGAAAGATATGTACTGTCTGGAGAAAGTGCAAGGGCTAGCCACTAAAATGGTGCCTGGGAAAAGGGGTTTAGCTAAACAGAGCGTCTCCGTGCCCTAGACCTGTTCTCGATGGAAAGACGGCGTATTCGAGGGGATTTGATAGAAACCTTCAAGGTAATGAAGGGACTGTCAGGAATAAGACGAGAAGACCTTTCCTATCTGACCCCCGATAAAGGCACAAGGGGGGCATAGTCTTAGATTACAAAGGAAGCATCCGAGGCTGCAAATTGGGGCTAAGTACTTCTGAAATAGAGTGGTACCCTATTGGGATAAGCTCCCGGAGGAGGTCATAAATACCACAACAGTGAAGGCATTTAAGAGAGCAGTAGACCTATGTTGGGTGGCAGTACACCCCAAGTTGTGTTAACCAGCTTTTAGGGTCAGATTCATTTTACTTATTGTTTCCACCTTACTCTGCCAGGGCTGATACTGCACAAAATTTCTGCCTTTCAGAAAAAGAAAATCACGCAGTGTTGGGAGCTACGGGAACGCGCCGCCAACACAACTATCTGGACACACGATTGGCTCTAGCCACACCAAGTCCTGTGCAAACCGAATTGAACTGAACTGAATCTGTTTGACCGTGTCGAAACGAGCCACCTCGGGGCGGGCTTTCTGAGATTGTGTCCTTGCGCGGATTCAAAGTTGGCTGCTGGTTCCGCGCGTTTTGGGCGTGCGCGTTTTTGTGGTGTTTACTGGAGCTTTCTAGTAGGTGCATCAGTGCTCCGTACATGGAATAAGAAAATCGTTATGTGGATGCTACTGCTCCGGCTATTCCTGTGTGTTCCCATGATTTTCCTGGTGGTGCAGCGTGCTCTGTGTGACACAGCAACATTTTCCCCGGTACCCTCTGATGACCATTCACCTCCATTCTCATTCACATCGCCATCCTACGATGCCATTTTGGTCGAAAATGGCAGCCCCGAACAAATGGTTATGCCATTGACTTCTCACATGGGAACACCGGAGCCATTTGGGGGGAATCCATCTGGAACTGTGGATTTTAAAATACTCAGAAGTGGGAACGATGAAAGAGCTTTCATAGCGAGGTCGCGAAAACTCGGACGATTCTTTTTTCTGCATATATACACAGCTTTCGAGTCTGATGTGACTCGTAGACAGTCATCCTATATTCTGACCGTGCAAGCCGTGTTCTCATCAAAGGTACTCGCTGGACTGACATCAATTGTACTTCGCAACGAAACGAAGATCACGGTCCGTGTCATTGATCAAAATGAGAATTGTCCATTCTTTTCTACAATCAATTATCATTTTACTGTCCGAGAGGATGCTTCAGTTCATCGACCTGTAGCTCGCGTTGTTGCCAATGATGCAGATTCAGGTTTTAACGCACAGATTTACTACTACCTTGATCCTGCGGTGTCGGATGTTCCATTTCGTGTCGACACGTACACTGGTGAAATATATCTAACCAAGAGGTTAACTCCGGAGTTTCACGATCCTATGCGTGGTCTGAGATTTATGGACACTCTAAGCGACCGTACAAAATACGAATTCAATATGTACGCCACTCACCGCGGAGCCAAAACACATGTCAATTGCAACATAGTGAGTTTGGCCAAGGTTCACATTCGAATCTTGAAGAGCACACTAATTCCGCCTACCATAATCGTAGATGAGTTCAGTGACATAAGGCTTCCTGGGGTCGTAGGAGTTGCTTACGCTCGCATCAGTGTTGTGAATCAGAATTCAGCTCAGAGGCACCGACATCAGCTGGAGATAGTAGAACCGGGAATGCGAAGCAATTTCGAGTTAATTCCCACTGGAAAGCCTTCCGAATGGCTCCTACAGGTACGGAGAAATCTGTCCTCAATATCTCTTAACGGTAAAATCACACTAACACTGCAGGCGAGTGATGAGATCGAACTTGGTGACCTAGAAGATTCATCTGTTCTTACGACTCCACTAGTATCGCGTTACGCCGTCAGCATTCCAGTCTTATCTAAATCTACTTATCGTATCTACTTTCCCGGCGAGGTCCATCTGAGCATATCAGAAGCGGATTTGGTTAACTGTACAGTTGCAATCTTGCAACCATCTTTGACATTCTTGATGACAAATTACAGCTTTCTGTACACGGATTTGCGGACAACTGTAAGAGACAGCGGTCCAGAATCTTCTATATTTCTATCGCCTTCCGGAGCTGTGGTTGTACGACAGGCTCTGGATGTGGATGCGACAACAGTAAATAAACCATTCATTCGCGGAAACAATACCAGGATCGTTATCCCCTTTACGGTCGTTGATCGATTCAACTTGTTGATCAGCAGTGCTCCCGAATCTCGTCTGGTAATCGACGTTCAGGACATCAATGACAACGACCCAGTTGTGAGAAATAATGCCTCAGTCTACGAAGTGCGGGAAGATGCAGTTGTTGGTACTGTCATTTTTCATGTGGATGCTTTTGATCCTGATCTTTCGCGTACTGACATATCATTTTCGTTGTACAATTCACATAATCTACCATTTTCCGTGACACCACGAGGTGGAATATTGGTGGGAAAAGAACTGGACGCAGAAACAATGCCCAATGAATTTACGCTTTACGTACGGGTATCTGACTCGGGATACCCGATGCCCAGAAGTGTTTTAGCTGTTTTTACTGTGCATATTATGGACATCAATGAACATGCACCGCAGTTTGTAGAGCTGTCATGCGAAGCGTGGTTAACGGTGACTCATTCGGGTTCTATAGTTCCATCATTGAGCAGTTCCGTGACCGGCCGTACGGTTGGTCGTTATTTCGCCGAGGATGCTGATCGAGATGGTCAGAGTAGTGTCACTATTCGCTTGGCCACATCTACCTTGTCGCGACCGTGCTTTCGAGTTGACGAAAACACGGGCGAGTTAAGTGTGATATGCTCTTATTTGGGTCAACCAAACTCTCAAATTATCCTGACGCTTCTGGCAACTGACAGTGATAAGAATTCGGAGGTTCCTTTCCAACTTGTCATCAACTTGGTCGCAGCTCGTGATGAGCGGGGAAATTTCACGCAACGTTGTCAGTCTTCCGATATCTACAAAGAAATTCAAACGTTGAAGCAACGTCGGAAAGAGTATGAACTTGCTCTTGGATCCCTGTCAACTACATTCATTAGTTCCGATAACCGTCATCAACCCAAGTTTTCTTCTGATTTGCCTATGCGTCTACATATTCCCGAGAATCTTCCTCTTGGTACGACTGTTCTACAGTTTGCTGCTTCCGATGAAGACGTTGGGGACTACTCATCCGCCGGACAGTTAATTTATGGCCTTGAAGCCATCAAGGCGGTTAGTGTCGAAGCGTTCGCTCCAGGATTTGGCGCTAGAAGGACAGATGCCGACGTACACCAGGCTTTTGTTCTCAAACCACTGTTCTCCAATGAAAATACTTCTCTGAATCTGCTCGGCTCGTCCCATGGTATGCGACTAGTAGTCGCTGCCCCTTTGGATCGCGAAGTGATTTCAAGTTACAGTTTGATGCTGCATGTCTGTGATCTAGGTTCTCCTCCTCTGTGTAGCTCTTCCATGCTCAACATATTTTTGGAAGATCTAGATGACAATCCACCAGAATTTTTAACAAATTCACAAGATGATTTATATCAAGGAGTTTATTCGACCAGTTCCAGCTTGCCGTTTTCGGGCCACGGCCCAACCCCACCAGGTGTTGTGCGCGTCCGCGAGAATCTCCCGTCGGATACCAAAATAACTCATGTAGTTGCCATTGACCGTGATGTCACCGATGAGGTGCGATATCGCCTGCTGAATTACAACGATACCTTTAAGGTAAGTTCATAGGTTAATCAGCTACCGTCATTTCGTCTTTAGATGATGTAAGAGTTTAATGAACACGGCGTAAAGCAGAACAGCTTCTAGTAGTTTATCTTTGTTTACTATTCCCATAGATGCCACACCGCTTGTCGTTTGTCACTGGTGGTTATTATAACAACCTGGCCAGACTTCCGTATTGCTAAGCCAAATGTCGCCCGTAGATTTTGAAATTAGGGTCGGGATTAATGCTAGTCACGGACCATCAGATTTGAGGTACAGCGTTCTCACTTGACTAACTGCAGTCGCGTTCGGTGCTGGTGAACACTGCCGCTATCTGGCTAATTGTCAAGTCTGACGTTTTGTGGTCTTTAACTTCAAATTCCAGGGTTAAAGTTGCCGGTTCTATTTGCTAGTTCATCAGGGCTTTGTATTAATGTGCCCATTCACTACAGTGATGTGCAAGCACAGTATAAAAACCTGCACTAGTTTCTGGGGTAATGCAAAATTCAACCATACAAGAGCACTGCGAAAACATCACAAAAATAGTTTCGTGTCAAGGACAACGAGCAATGTTTTTCCGAGATCCAGTTCATCAGACAGCAAGTTTCTGTGATTCGTCGGTTACAAAAGATATGTGAGCGCTCTTGAATTTCGTGCAATTTCATACGATCGCTGTGATTTGTGTATTTTAAGACTAACGGAGCGTAGAAGGAAAACCGCGATCTATTCATTTTTTACACAGTGAGGGTTAAACTCCATATCCAAGAGTGATACTGTAAAAGAGAGGTTAGGGAACATTAATGTCAGAGTCAGCTTGTTGATACTGCTTTCGAACAAAGGAAGATTGTGGGTGGGTTGGAAAAGAAAAAAAGGGCACTGTTTTAAAATTCGGCTTTCCGGAGAAAAAGAAAGGTTAGAAGATAGAGGTACAACACCTCGGAACAAAAACCTGATAAAAATGACTGGCCGCCTGTCTACGTAATTGGTGAATAAAGATCACAAGAAAGGGAGCGTCCAAGGCAATTTACGAAGGACAAGCCAACATAGTAACGGTAGAAAAGAGACAGTGATGCAACGGCCCGACGGTGGGCCAGTGAATGTGGTTGGGAGGTTGGCGAAGGATCCTGGACCAAGCGAACCAGCCTTACGTTAAACCCAGTCAGGGAGAAAAAGGGAAGAAGACGAAAACTTACCACATGTGACTGCATTATTCAATTGTAGGGCGAATTTGTTCTTTGTACAATTGGCGAAGGCGAGCTACGGAAAAACATGTGGTGCGGAATAGAAAACCAACTTTGTGCGCAGCACGAGAAGCAGGCTGAGGTATGCAAGGGAGGCAGCAAAGTAAAGGAAAGCAGTTTTGGATGCAAGCATATTGAATCAGAAGATAGGGGAAATGAAAGTAGTGAAGTTTTGGAAGCCTTCAAGTCAACATGATTATGGGTGTCCTGTGTGGGAACGTTCGAAGTCGGAATTAATTGATATACGGGCTACTCTACGATCACGATCGGTATCGATGGTGGGGTGGTGGGAGTTGGAGTAAGAAAAGGAACAATAAAGAGTGATATCATCGAAAAAAGCGCGGGTCGGGTTGGGGGCGTTAGACAGAACATCAATAATGAACAGGAGGGTGGGCGCAAGTACAAAGTCTTGGGGAACGCCTGCCTCTACGGAGAGGCTGGGATAAAACCTCATCGACTCATACAAAAGTGGTTCACTTACTGATAAAACTTGATGTTCACGATACGAAAGCCGGAGGGAATCTGAACGTTGGCAATCTCGCCAGTTAACATTGGTGCCAGACTTGGTCGAAGGTCTTTGAGATGTCGTGCCGTACAAGGAGCGTTTCTCTGTGAATGTCGAGTACAACCGACCAGGAGTCTAAGATAAGGGCTCGACGGTCACCCATGAAATGGCAGGACGGGCAGGCATTTTGGTGGTCGCCCAGTAGTCCTAGTTGGAAAAGCATTCGTAATTGGTGGAATGTAAGTTTCGAAATAAGAGATGTGAGTGATATTGGGCCGGTGGTGTTCAAGTGGTTCAGAACGTTCGGTTTCCACTTCGGAGGTGGGACATTCAAGCCCCAACATCACCGATTACTTTGGTGGTAGACAGTAATCCACTGTCCGGCTCGTAACCGCACCTGACCTATCGGAACCTTGTGTGGTTTTCTGTCACTTTAAGTCTCAGGATTAAGTTGTCAGTCATACTTAATAGTGCAGTGGGCCATTGTGACTATAGGATATGCACCTTACACTGTATTCATGCTCACGAATGTAATAAAAAATAGTTGTTGGGTTGGAAAGGTCGCCGCCTTTGGGAATAAGGAAAATTACGGCGTTATCATCGTATTCCTTATTTGATGAGTGATGGTCGCTATAGGGTCAGACAAAAGAGCAATACGATTAAAAAGCAGAATGACGGCCGTTCAGCAGGCTTCATTCAACTAACAACTGACACGAGAGCTGAAAATAAAACGAGCAGACAAATCATGGGCAATGTTAAATTATGGTTTACAGTGCATTCTCCCCTGGTTTGTTTGGTTGACCTCGGGGGATATGCGAATTAAATTGCCAAAAGAAGATCACAAGAGCACGAGGTCGATAGTTGAGTGGACTGGCTGAACTGAACTGATTACGTCTCTGTTTTACAAAGGTTATATAGTTGTGTTCTCTGTTGCTGCGTGTAAAGAGATGGCGGGTCTGGAGTACGAGGGATATCTGTTTACGTTATGTGGTTGTCGTTTGATCCAGGACAATAATTGAGGCTGTCGGTGAGTGGAATCTGCGCATTTTCAACCGAATCCTCGTCTTGGGACGGTAGTGATTGACTCTGATCCGCCATGGCTAGATTACGAAGCGAGACAGTATCCTCTCGTTGGGGAAATGGACAGCGGCGTGTTGATGATTGCACTTCATGAGCTGTACTTCGTCTATCAGTGGGTCAAACTTTGCTCCATGTTATGCTGGAGAAGGACAGGACCCGATGCAGTAAGCTAGCTAGGTAGTGTTACCCTTGCGACTAACTTTAAATTATAAAACTGTTGCTCGTGAATAGTGGCATTCATGACTGTACGTAACAAAGAGCGAACCTAGTAAGGGGCATCTAACGGCACTCTCTCACCGAGTCAGCCAGCCCTTAGACCTTAGGACGAAAATAATTGCCTTACAGATAACTCCGTCCGTTCTTTCTACTTGCTCGTTATTTTGAAGATTATAAGGGGTTATTCTACTGACCAAGGTACTTGTTCCGCCGAGAACTGTTGCACTTCCTGTGACGTAAAGAATGAATCTCGATCAGTGTAGATGTAAAGTGACATTCCAGAGATTGAGGAATGATAAAGTATTCAATTATGGTGGTGTAGTCAAAATCCGTACATGCGAACGGGAACCGGGAATATTCATCCACGATAGTCAGCAGGTAGCTTTTGTTCGTTACTGGTGACAAAGAATTCTGAAGACCCGTGTACGACCTTGCAAATGAATGCGTGACTCTGATGAGTGATCTTAGCTGTTTGTAGAATCCAATTGTTACCTCAGCGCATACTTTACAGCAAGAAGTTGACCGAACTTCCTCCGCCCAAACAAGTAAATACAGAGAACGAATAAAATAAAACATTCTGGGGTGGCACAGCGAGTCATAAATTTTTCTAAGATTCAACGCACTGGTCGACGTTGTGCAACAGATGTAGGATAAGACGTCGGCGGCAAGGTTATCATTTCGTCGGTACACCACGTCAAAACTGTAACAAGACACCTCGATACGCTACTATTGGTTCTTGTCATTTTTTATCCTACTTTTTGATTAAGCTCGACCGTGAACGCACCAGGTCTCCGATCAGTGATGGCCGTAAAAGGGTACCGACAGATAGTGACGCCGCTTCCAAGCTGATTCGATGACAACATGTGTGATGGTAGGCGGTAATCCACTTTCGTCCGACTGGTTACCACACCTGACCTATTGGTACCTTGTTTGTTTTTCCGTCACTCCAAGTCTCGGGGACTGGTTACCGGTTTTCCGTAATAGTTCAGTAAGCTATGAGGTATACCACTTCTACACTCAGGTGCAGAAATATAATAATTCAAAAAACGGCTGAGTGACGCTGTTTGTGTGGAGTAAGCGTTCGTAAGAATAAAGCAACCAGTAGACGTCTCAGCTATGGCAAAAACGTGGGTGTCGGTTTCTAAGACTAAGAAGACAGTGTCATCGACGGAGACGATGACAGTCTACACGGTTTCCTTTTTGATATCCTCTACCGGCTAGCGAAAGTTAGGCGGATAAGGGAAACAACGGCCTTTTATTTTATTCTTGCGCATGAGTGCAGTAAAAGAGATATGTACTCCGTAGCTACAAAGGCCCACGGCATTATGAGGGATAACCGGCAACCAGACCCCGAGACTTGGAGAGATGGAGAACCGCATAAGGTCCCAATGATTCGGGTGAAATAACGAGCCGGAGGACAGTTAATTACTGTCTACTACCAGAGTAACCGGCAGTGGCGGAGATTCGAACCTCTGACCACCGATATGCTAGTCAGACGCTCTAAACTACTCGACTAACATCGGTCGAGGAAAAAGAACCTTAATTCACCATGATCGCTTCTGTCCACAGGTACACTAACCTCGAGATGATCAGCTTCCTCTGGCGATTCATCGAGAACAGGGTCTAGAAGGCTGGGTGTCTGGCCAATTCGTCGCCGGTTTGGTTGGTTTGTGTACTGTACCAGCCTAAGCCTGCACACCAGCTCCTCAGCTGATTGCCAGAATCACTTTTGCGGTGCCCGCAAACCCTCATATTCAACTCCCGGCGAGTTAAAGTCACCACGAGACAGCACTTTGGCGTGGTGTGAAAGCTTGCGTGCCTTATGACCAAAAGAGCTATGCAGGATAGCATCCTCAAGCCGGAGGCGGAATCATGCCTGACAGATCAATGAGTAGAGACCAGACGAAGTACAGTCTTTAAAACAGTTTCTGGGCAGCGTCTGGTTCCAACCACTACGTCCCCGGAGAGAACAC